CGGTTGCATTAAAACTGAATTAGGATGACAAATTTAGGATAGATATGGGACGTTTGAAAAGTTAGGAATAAAATAAGGAATTTTATTTGGTTAAGGGATATTTTTTATATTATAGGATTGTCTAGTTTCCACTCCGAGAATGTTTCTCTTGTGTGTAGGTAGAATCTTAATTAAAATGTTAATCAATATGCTGTCTTTGGTGGGGGCAAATGGCTTATGCTTTTTTGCTGATTGTTGGTGGATTATGATATGGTGAAATTGCTATGATAAGAAAGTTAAACGAAGTAAAGAAACCCGAGGAAAATCAGAGATGAGGGGAAAATTTTGAGAGATTTTCATTGGTGTTTTTGTGTGAATTTGCCTACCGTAATTCTGCAATTAATGGTAATTTATTATAGACATAAGCTAAGGAGTAAACGTACACTACAGTTTTACCTCTAAAAAAATTACACTATATTTTCTTTTTTAGAATGCATATATTTGCCATTTTCAATCCTTGGATGAAGCAACTAAAAATAATTTATGTTGAAACTTTTACAGCCTTTATTAAGTAGCAAATAACATTTTTTTTTCTACGCTTCCCATATCTTTTTCTTCATCATGCAATGGGAGGAAAAAAAAAAAAGAGAAAGAAAAGAAGTTCTAATTAATAACAGAATTTGTTACTCTACAATGAAGACGAAATTCAAAACAGACTATCAACATGCTTCTGCAATTTATCTTTATCACAAGATGTTAGCTTAATTTTTTGTCGAGATTTTCCATAGAATGGCATCTTGATCACGTACTTGTGAATTTCACTAAGGAGAGATTACAAAAATATTAATTATTAATATCTCTTTCTTCCAGGTATAACAGATGCACAATTAAGAAGGATCACTTTTTTTTTTTTTGGGTGCGTAGCTAAGAAGGATAACTTTGCATTAAGTTTTACGGAGATAAATAGCTAGTTCATGTGTTGTTATAAAACTAAAAATTATACTTTTCCAGAGTTGAAGCAAGTGTTTAGCGACTTCATTTCACCCATTAAAAACAGAAAGATCTTAATGTAGTAGTAATAAAGCACATAAAATGGATTTCTATAGCAAAAAATAAAGGAAAATATGAAGAATTTATCCTTAAGAGTGCATTAGTTTAGATTTTTATTTTTATTCTTGATCAATACTCTTTTATTAGTGTAATTATTTAACTAAAAAGGTTATGAATTAAGAATAAAATCTTGACTTATGCACCTTCAAAGGGTATTTGTCAAGATTACCTAAAATAAAAAGGCACATAAATTGGAAGGATCTACTGGATTGAGCAAGCCTACTATTGAAAATTCCTAGATTTTTTTTATTATACAAACTTTGCAATCTACATGAGAAAAACTTCTTAACAATTGTTCACTAAAAAAAAAAAAAATCTCAAAAATTGTCAATGATCCGATACTTTGTGGCGGGAGATTTATACATTAGGAAACACTGACGCCAGTAAGCTCTAGTTGTGCCACTGAAGCATTAATGGCATCAAGAACATCCATCTTTCCCCTACTCACTGCTTCATCCATTGGAGTCCTCTCATGGCTGTACGCGATAAATAATTTTGTGCCCATAAATCAATTTTTTTTAAAACAACAAGAAAACATCTAAAGAAAACAAAGACTTGTTCTTTTGCATGACTTAAGTTTTATACGTGAGAGAAAAACACTGTAGCTAAAAAGTTGAATTTGAATTTTTATGAGAGAACATACTGTAGCAATATGACTTAGAGTCATGATTTAAGTCATGAAATAAACATTAGCAAAACAAAATTTTAGATCAAAGAGGGCGTACCAATTTAGTACACTGACGCTAGCTCCTGCCAAGATCAATTTCTTAACCACCTGCAAAGAGGGCAAGCACTTGAGCCAAGAAATTGGGGACATTAATTCCATACTTTAGAAAATACGATGATTACCTCGACGTGCCCATTGAGGCAAGCCCAATGTAGAGGCGTATTTTTCTCCTCGTTAGAAGCATTGACATCCTGCCGAGATGCATGACTCCAAACAACATCAACCGGACGAAAAACAGCACTCAAAACATTTCAATGCCATTGCAAAATGTCTCTCTTTCCGATTTATTTGTTTGGGGTTTACGCGAAAAAAGTGATTTGGTGACTGACTTGGTGGTGTAATATCTAATATGGAGGTTCCCTCTTAATTATCATATGAATTCCGCGCATGGCACAACAAGATAATCGTAAAACCTATGCCTAAATATGTCAAACAGAACGAGAAAATTCTACTACCTCCCTTACACTTTGTGAAGTAGCCTTTACTCAGTGTTATGCACTAAGTTTATGCTTCGTTCTACATATGCAAGCTTAAACTTGGAAGAAAGCTTGTATTAATGATACTTCTTCAACAGTTCAATAAACAATAGATTTACACATCTGCCTATAAATGCAGAAATATGTAGAGTACTAAAATATTCGGACACAAATAATCTGAGATGTCTGGTAATAAAACGTAGTACAACAAAAAAAAATGACAATGACAAAGACAATGACTATGAAATAACATTCTGTGAACCACTTGATGGCATCTGATTAAATCAAGGACACTTAGCAACTTAACAAAAGGCCACCCAAAAAAAAAAAAGGCGGACCCCAGTGTCAAAGAGGCTCCTGTACCATGACAGGCACGGGGGAAAGCTCAATCCCATATGTATGCGGCCTTACCCCCCGAAGGAGAGGCCGTTTCCGGGATTCGAACCTTGGACCCTGGGTGCAAACGCAAGCGCTCCCACCATGGTGCCAAGGCCCGCCTTCAAAAAGGCGGACCCCAGTGCCAAATAGGCTCCCGTATTATGACAGGCTCAGGGGAAAGCTCAATCCCATATGTACGCGGCCTTACCCCCCGAAGGAGAGGCCGTTTCCGGGATTCGAACCTTGGACTCTGGGTGCAAACACAAGCGCTCCCACCACGGTGCCAAGGCCCGCCACCCCAAAAAAAAAAATAAATAAATAAAAACACAAGCGCTCCCACCACGGTGCCAAGGCCCGCCACCCCAAAAAAAAAAAAAAAACTAAATAAAAGCAGGACAGAGGTCTCACCACTCCTTTGCCGATTAGATATTGCACAATGCCAAGATGTCCATTAGCAGAAGCCATATGAAGTGCTGCAATAAAATGCCGATGTTAGATCTCAACTGATAAGTGAAAACAATAATCACGAGAGTTTCTCTTTTGTCAATTGTTTTAGAAACTATTTTATCAAATTTTAATAAGAATTAATAAGAAAACCTAATCAAAGATAGCAAAAAAGAAACTGAATTCAAGTTAGTAAGAGTTTTCACATTTCAGGTTGGGTATGTGCTCCCAAGCCAATAAAAGGAGGAAAGAAGAAAGGCATTTTAATACAGGATCTAAAGAAGATTGTCATAACTTGATTTTGAAACTATGTGAATTCCTCACGTGTAAACTAAATGCACCGATGTAAAATTAGTGGGTAAGAGAAGTTACTCAAAGCATAAACAATCATACTTGACGGTAAGGGGCATTCATCAGCCACAAACATATAAAAGATTTGCTGTTCATGAGATCTCAATGCACCATGAACCCTTCATGGGTAAATTAAGACATTTTATTTCTCTACATAAGTTCATTTCTGATGTCACAAAGCATTTCATGGTAAACACGTTAATTACGCAAAGGGATACTACTTGCTGCGTTTGGCCTTATAACTCTGCAATAGATCCCCAATCCTAAAACTATTTTCAGGAGAGAAATGAGAGATTGAATTGGAAGAAAAGAAACTATACTAGTGCTTTCAAAACCCCCCTCAGTTAAACAACAATAAGTTTATTGATTCTCCAATAAGTTTCCTTTTTATTCATTATTTTTATTTTTTAAAGCTTAGACTACTAAAGAGTCCCCAGTTGTCGTTTGTTTTGTAGCTGCTTAATCAGTCTTTTGTGCATTTTAAAAAGCTTTCATAGTGTTTTAGTTAAAACGAGTGGAATGTTTTTTTACAAACTAAGAAGTTTGATTACGCAGGATTCTTAAAGTTACTGTATTTTAATAGGGACTCTTTAGTTTGTTTAATTTGAGTTTTAGTTGGATAAGGTTTCTTCTCATTTTCATAGTCAATAAGGTCCAATACCATATTTGTCAAGCAAATTCTATTTTAATTTTCAACAAGAAAAAGGTTTCTTCATTTTCATAGTCAATAAAGGTCCAACACCATATTGTTGTAGGCATATTCATTTTTAATTTTCAACAAGAAAAAGGCACTTTTTAGAAGTATTTGATTTCCAAATTATCAATCGAGGAATGACTTTCCAACAAAAAAGAGTCCTGTTCCTAATAAGGAAGCGTAGAACAAAACCGTTTAAGGTAAAATAAAGTACGAAACACCATTATCCCAACTCATTACAAGCCTAAAATCTATATCTACGCCTAACATATGCAACCCTACATCATGATCATCTCCTTTTCCTTCTCTGCTCAACAACCAAAACTTATCCTAAAATCCTAACAAGGCTTCTCCTTTTTTCGCTTTAAAATAGTCTCAATTCACAAGAGCTTCATCAATCTTTACACTGCTAAGGTAAGAGAATGTCTACATGAATCATTGCAAAATCCTTGTTCCGCGATTTTTAGTATCACCCATGTCAATGTTTTTGGTCATTTCCTTCTCCGATCAGGGTTGATTTTAGCTATGCAAAAAGAGAGAGAGTTCCTTAGTGATAACTCTAAGAAATTAGAGTTATCTAATGGTTTTCTAGCTCAAA